TCTACTCGTGACTTTTATAACATTAATGAGAGCATTTACTCATTGCATTTAATGTCGCCTCTTGCTCCTTATATAGAAAGTGTGAGGACTTTATTACACCATTTTCAGGTTTCCTTTTCCCTTTTTACTTTACAAGATATTCACAAGATATTTAGTTACACCACATTTAATGCTATTGTACTTCTAAACACCATCTCAATAAAGCAAACTCGCTCGGGTTGCGACACGCGTCCCCATTTGCTAAGCGCCATTAGATCAAGGATTACCGAATCCATACGCATTTAATGCATATCGTACGGACTTTATTCTGGTAATGATGGGTGTCGCTCGGCCACGCTACCTATGTCTCGCTCGGTCCTAATCTGTGTTCGGTCCGTTCCGCTGCTTCTCGCCCCGCTGTCCCGAGCAGACTTCTAATTAATTTAATTTTCCAGATGTTCGGTCTCTACCACGTACACAAAGTTTGAATACAAAGGATACAACTCGAAAGCTAAAAATACAAACTGAGAGGACACGCTGAGAAGCGGTCTACAAGCCCTATAATCAAGTAGCAAAACAACACAAATAACAAGAATACAAACACCCAGCTAGAATGAGAGCCTAACCACTACACAACTGCCTAGCTAAATCTCTCCCTCCAAACACAAACCAGAAACCAACAAACAAGATAAAAAAGAAAAACAAACGTCAATAGCTGACTGAACACAACAACATTAAACTCCAAGAAGAAAACTCAAGTCAATCCTTTAGAGATGCTTTTACAACCCCTCTTACAGAGAGATTTGTATCCGGAAACAACCATAAATATATATATATATAGGGGGCGGCTCAAATAGGTCCAGCTCTTAAAATGCGCCCAGCTCTTAAAATGGGACCAGCTCTTAGCAACAAAAGACAACTAACCTAGCTACTACTAACTTAGCAACTATAGAGAACTAACCTAGCAATTACTAACTTACAACTACAGAGAACTAACCTAGCAAGAACAGAAAACTAACCTAGCAACTACTTAGAACTAATCTAGCAACAACAGAAAACTAACCTAGCAACTACTTAGAACTAACCTGCAACTACTTAGGCATAACTTAGCAACAAGATAGAACTAACCTAACAACAACAGACAACTAACCTAGCAACTACAGACAACTAACCTAGCAACTACAGAGAACTAACCTAGCAACAACAGACAACTAACCTAGCAATTAGACATAACTAACCTAGCAACATCAGACAACTAACCTATCAACATCAGACAACTAACCTAGCAACTACAGACAACTACCCTAGCAACAACAGACAACTAACCTAGCAACTAGACGTAACTAACCTACCAACATCAGACAACTAACCTAGCAACTACAGAGAACTAACTTAGCAACAGCAGACAACTAACCTAGCAACTACTTAGAACTAACTTAGCAACAAGATAGAATTAACCTAGCAACTACAGAGAACTAACCTAGCAACTACAGAGAACTAACCTAGCAACTACAGAGAACTAACATAGCAACTACTAACCTAGCAACATCAGACAACTAACCTAGCAATATCAGACAACTAACCTAGCAACTACAGAGAACTAACCTAGCAACTACAAAGAACTAACCTAGCTAGTTGGAAGGTTAGTGGTCAACGGTCAACGCCGGAAGTTAACGGTCAACGCCGGAGTCAACGGTTAAAATAATATTTAAATAATTAAAATAATAAAAAGAAAAGAGTAAATCTTGGCCACACATGATGTACCAAATCATGTGGCTAAAAATGAGTCTCATGTCCTCACTTTAAGAAAACGGCCGCATTTGAACCAATTCCTATATATATATATATATATATATATATATATATATATATATATATAGGGATTGGTTCTAATGCATCCCATTATTTAAAGTGAGGACGTGAGACTCATTCCTAGCCACAAGATTTAGATCTTGATTTAAATAATAATTTTTTATTTTTATTATTTAATTCTTTATTTTTAATTATTTAAGTATTATTATGACCATTGACCGTTGACTTCCGGCGTTGACCGTTGACTTCCGGCGTTGACTTCTGGTGAAAATCGTTGACTTCCAGCGTTGACCGTTGACTTTCGGCGTTGACCGTTGACCATTTGTCTTTTGTTATGTTATTTCTTTCTTGCTAGGTTAGTTGTTTGTTGTTGCTAGGTTAGTTATTTGTAGCTGCTATGTTAGTTGAGTTTTGTTGCTAGGTTATTTTTTTCTTGCTGCTAGGTTAGTTGTCTTTTGTTGCTAGGTTAGTTCTTTCTTGCTGCTAGGTTAGTTGTCTGATGGTGCTAGGTTAGTTGTCTTTTGTTGCTAGGTTATTTCTTTCTTGCTGCTAGGTTAGTTGTCTTTTGTTGCTAGGTTATTTCTTTCTTGCTGCTAGGTTAGTTGTCTTTTGTTGCTAGGTTATTTCTTTCTTGCTGCTAGGTTAGTTGTCTTTTGTTGCTAGGTTATTTCTTTCTTGCTGCTAGGTTAGTTGTCTTTTGTTGCTAGGTTATTTCTTTCTTGCTGCTAGGTTAGTTGTCTTTTGTTGCTAGGTTATTTCTTTCTTGCTGCTAGGTTAGTTGTCTTTTGTTGCTAGGTTATTTCTTTCTTGCTGCTAGGTTAGTTGTCTTTTGTTGCTAGGTTATTTCTTTCTTGCTGCTAGGTTAGTTGTCTTTTGTTGCTAGGTTATTTCTTTCTTGCTGCTAGGTTAGTTGTCTTTTGTTGCTAGGTTATTTCTTTCTTGCTGCTAGGTTAGTTGTCTTTTGTTGCTAGGTTATTTCTTTCTTGCTGCTAGGTTAGTTGTCTTTTGTTGCTAGGTTATTTCTTTCTTGCTGCTAGGTTAGTTGTCTTTTGTTGCTAGGTTATTTCTTTCTTGCTGCTAGGTTAGTTGTCTTTTGTTGCTAGGTTATTTCTTTCTTGCTGCTAGGTTAGTTGTCTTTTGTTGCTAGGTTATTTCTTTTTTGTTGCTAGGTTAGTTGTGTTTTGTTGCTTGGTTAGTTGTCTTTGTTGCTAGTTTAGTTGTTCTTTCTTGCTGCTAGGTTAGTTGTGTTTTGTTGCTAGGTTAGTTGTCTGATGCTGCTAAGTTAGTTGTGTTTTGTTGCTAGGTTAGTTGTCTGATGTTGCTAAGTTAGTTGTATTTTTTTTTTATAAAAAAATTGTAACCCATAGGATTTGAACCTGGTACCTCATGGAGGTAAGACAAGCAATGCAACCACTACACCAATCAAGGTTGAGTGTCTTTTGTTGCTAGGTTATTTATTTCAATACAACGGGTCAACGCCGGAAGTCAACGGTCAACGCCGGAAGTCAACGATTCTCGCCGGAAGTCAACGCCGGAAGTCAACGGTCAACGCCGGAGTCAACGGTCAACTATTTTATTATTTAATTAATGTATATTTTAATTGATTTTGATCTAGACAAAATGAGTGGCTAAGATTGAGTCTCACGTACTCATTTTAAGGAGTGGTCTCATTGGATCCATCCCCTATATATATATATTATGTATAATATAAATGCCATATGCAAAATATAGATGAGTATGATTTTTTAACATTCTAAATTTACACGGTTTGGACCAAATCCAATTCGGGCTGTTTCTGGCCGTGGCTTTATTGAGTATTATCGTTTGAAAAAAAAAAGGACGAAATCCAATTGGGTCATATAGATGCAATGAGAGGTATATTATGATTTGCAGTTTCTGTATTCCTATAAATAATATTAATAATCGGATTTATACTATCAATGCTAATTTTATTTTTCAATGACTCATATAGATTCTTTTCTCTAATTATATAGGTTATATTTGGTAAAGCTAGCTGATAGCTAATAAGCTAGCTTAGAAATAATGATTAGTTAAAATTATGTGAGTAGATGAATAATGAATTAAAGTTGATGTGATGTGTAAGAATGATTGGTTGATATTATTTATTCATAATGATAACTAGTACGATACTCGTGTAGTACACGGGCACTTGTTAAGAAAAATATATTTCAAATTAAATAATAATAACAACATAATTGTTTTAATTTTTAAATACTTTTAAAAAAATATATTATTATTTATATTTAAGTTGACACCGTCACTTACACGACTTACTATCATATATTATATATTTTTTAATTTATATCAAATAACTAATTTATAGGTAAGTTAGTTTAAATAATTATATTTTTTCAAACTAATATTAATAGATAATTTAATTTAATTATAAATATAAATAATATTATTTTATATTTTATATGTATAATATAGATGTCAAATAAAAGTTCATAAAAACATGATTAATTTGATATACTATATATAAAATTTAATATATATGTATAAAAAAATTCGATATATTAATCATTTTGATCGTAACATTCAATTTGGAAAAGTGAAAGATTCCAAAACAAATTTTAAGGCTATATTAGTCATATAAACATCAGTAAGTAAGTTTACAAAATAAATCAAGGGTTATATTAGTCAAAATATTATGAAATTAACCAAGTTATCTTTTTAATGTTTAATGTATGTCCGAATCTAAAAATATTGATTTAGAATAACCTTCTTTTTTATCCAAACCAAATTACGAAGCATGATTTTGTGCCAAGTAGGATTATGAAGCGCGCGAGCCTGCCATTTATGCTCAACGCATTCTGCAATTATATATAGGAGGATATTAAGGATAATGAGGTTGAGTTAAAATTGATTTTCTAATGAAGTATTGAAGATTGTATTAAACAATTTATCATCCACTCCACCATCACGGAAATTAGATTTTGTTTCACCTAACAATCACATTCCAAAAGTTTGTATAAACTTCATAGTATTAACTATGCAATGTTGACATAGTAAATTAGGAAAATGTATAGTATATCAAATTCATTATTTGAAGTATTTTCTAAATGTGTCGCAATTATATTGACACTTGATTTCGCCATGTTGATTCCAAGACCTATAAATTGCATCCCAAACAAACCAAATACTTCACAAAAAGTTTTGCGTTTCACATACAATACAAGGCATTGATCATGAGTGATACTAAAGGTTTGGTACTTCTCGTCTTATTCACTTACATATTCCTAACCAAAGGGTGTTTCACTGACGAGTATGAGGTTCATCTAATCAACAGGCTTCCGTATCCAAGACTCAAATTTCATTGTGCATCGGGTGATAATGAACTTGGATATCATAAAGTTGTTCCAAATTTTGATTTCCATTGGAAGTTTTGTGAGAATATTTGGAAAAAAACTTTATATTTTTGCCATCTTTGGTGGGAAGACAAGGAAATTGCTTTTGATATATTTACCTCCAAGCACAGTAATAGGTGTCGGATAAGTGAATGTTTTTGGGAAGCAAGGAAAGATGGTATCTATTTTTCGTATGACAATGAGTATATTCCTTTTAAAAAGATGTTTGAATGGAAAACAATAAACAATTAATTGAATGTGAGGTTATGACTTTCTTGATTTATTTATATCATCCTTCTTATTCTTGTTTTTAGTTTTAACATTTGCAATGTGATTAACTTGATCTGTATACTGGGTCATACATGAAAGGTATCTGCAGAGAGAATTTCGGTAGAAATCTCCAATTTTCAGTTTCATCTAAAACTATAAACTATACGTACAAGGTGTTATTCACACACAAAAAATGATAAAAAAAAAGGTGTTATCCACACACAAAAAATGATTAAAAAAGTAAAAAAAATAAAAAAGGCAAAACAAAATCATTATATTTTATAAGGCTCCTAGAAGTCGTTTCCACTTAAGCACAAACCTGAAAAACGCTAACCTCGCGAAAACGTTTATATTAATCGATATCTATATCTATACTATTATTAATCTATATCTATATCTATATTATTATAAATGGAAGAATGATTTTGTAAAAAATTGCACCAACTAAATTGAACTTATATTTAATTGATTTTTAGTGGCATAATTGTAATCCTATTAAATATATCAAAATTGAAAGAACTCTAATTGAAAAATAATCCTAATTAACCTCAAGAGTCTCACTCCAATAAGAAGTCAATTATCATTATCGTTAATAATTTTTTTTATCAAAATTTATTTAGTAAGGAAAAATACATAACAATGTGGAAAGACAATCATTTGTTTATTAAGAAAAAATACGTTTTTGAAAAAATCAAATATATTAATTTTGTGGACTTCAAGTTTTAAGTTAAAAAACTTAGTGTAATGTGAAGTGTACTTAACTTGAAATTGTTTATAGATTTTTAATTTTTTTTAAATCACATATAAAACTATATAGAAAAATGAAACAAAAGTAAAGAACTTTTAGAAGAATCTATATTTATGTTCTGCGTATCTATCCAAAAAATATAGTTGAAATTATTATTCATTAAGTATTGTTTATAGTAAACAAGTTTCTTAATTAATATTATATGTATATAACGTTTATTATGTTATAATGCATGCTAACACTCTTATATAAAATACTCATCTTTATTCCTACAATTATACATATATTTATCATATATAAAAATATTTTAGTATTATCATTTCACTACAATAAAATGATAAAATTCCAACAGAAATATACTTCAATAGAATTCCAACGGCAATTCCAATGAATATTGCAATGCTATTATTTCCATTGGAATAATTCCAACGGAAATTCCAACAAAAATATTCTGTTGGAATGAGTTTTTCATTGGAATTTCCGTTGGATTTTGACGATTCCAACGATAGATTTTCCAACAATGGTGAAATAAAAATTCTAACGGAAATTGCATATTCTAATGAAAATTCCTATGGTCAAATTCCATCTAAAATTCCAATGAAAAATACATTCCAACAGAATATTTTCATTGGAATTTCCGTTGGAATCATTCTAATGTAAGCTATACCGTTGGAATATCCGTTGAAATTTCCATTGAAATATATTAACATAAGATTTTCCTTTGAAATATAATAATTTTTTTGTAGTTTTTTAATCACCCTTTATTTTAATCATTACTTCAATATGTTCAAATATTAAAAAATTAAAAACTATACAGTCTCTTAAATTCTTAAACTTAATGGCGACCATGGAAAATATAATAATCATTCTATCATGGTATTAATTTTCTTATTTATTTTGATAATTTTTAGAATGGATATAATTATAAAAAAAAATTATCTAAGTACAAAAAACATAATTTTAAAAGTTAGCGTTTTAATAATATTTCATTGATTATTATTTTTATTTTTATTTTTTTTTGAAACGATAGAGACTTTTCTAACACCTCAACCGAGAACAAAGTTTGAATACAAAGGATACAACTCGAAAGCTAAAAATACAAACTGAGAGGACACGCTGAGAAGCGACCTACAAACCCTATAATCAAGGCAGCAAAACAACACAAATAACAAGAATACAAACACCCAGCTAGAACTAGAAAGAGAGCCTAACTAGTGCACAACTGCCTAGCTAAATCTCTCCCTCCAAACACAAACCAGAAACCAACAAACAAGATAAAAAAGAGAAACAAACATCAATAGCTGATTGAACACAACAACATTAACCTCCAAAAGAAACAAGAGAGCACAGAAAAAAGCTAACTCCTCAAAGAAGATAACTCAAGTCAAACCTTTAGAGATGCTTTTACAACCACTCTTACAGAGAGATTTGTATCCTGAAACAACCATAAATTTCTGGATTTCCAGAACTACCACAACATGTAGGTTGTTAGCTAGATCCTAGCCTCAATAACATCAGAATAAGCAATTGAACAAACCTGCCACCACCAAGAGCTGAAAAGGGTACCTGCTTTACAAATGTCATCCCACTGAACTAACCGTATCTCCCACAGTCTTCTAGCTCTAGAACAGTGAAAAAAACATGCTCAATTGTTTGAGAGTCTTCTCCACAACCCTGATATGTAACAACTCACGTAGAAATTCGATCACATAGATCATAATCATCTCCACTTCTCAACTTCTCAATCTATTTGTCTCATGTATACACACTTTATCCGTTGGCTCGCCTTCACATAGACACAGACGCATAACGACAGGAGCTCACATTGGAGGTGCCACACAGTCATTGCCTCACATAGCCATGGCATTGCACCTTTCAGTCATATTGGAGATGCCACATAGTCAATGCATCACACAACTAATGCATTGCACCCTCATTCGTTTCGTCACATAGCCATTACTTCAGTCAATTTCACAAAGCCCATTTCACACAGTCCATGTCATACAGTCCACTTCACACAGTCAAATTCATCACGTAGCACACAGTCATATACATATCTGAATTATGGACAATGTGATTATAAAGAATAAAAGCATAGAGTTTAGCAACACCCAACTCAAATCGGATGATGCTGAAAATTGTAAATTTTGCACCCTGTCGCTCGAGGTCAACTGAAAATTTAAAATTTAAGGCCACAATAATCTTATAAACAACTTGCCCTTAACTCGAATTACTGACTTTGACTTAATCAATAACTTTATTAATTAAAAAATTCATACAATTTAGTGGAACTCGGAACTCTCAGATAAAGGCTCGGAAAAGGGTTCACGAGTTAGCGCAGGCTCGAGTCCGACCACGCTGGCACCGGTTCCGGGTTGCGGCTGGCACGGCGGCTACGCGCTCGTTGTCTTTGCGCCTCGGCGAGATCAGCTAGCTACGGGCCGACCTAGAGTCTGAGCACGGGCTGCGCGCCTGCGGGATCGTGCTGGAACATGTTGGGGTCTAGGGTCATGATGCGGTTTCACCCGAGAGGCAGCGAATTCGCTGGCGCTGCGTACGCGGGGCACAGAGACGCGCGTTCACACACCTGCTCGGAGACTCATTACAGGACGAGGTCTGGCCACACTCGATGGCTTGGGGAGCTCGCACGCTCGGTGATGGAGGTTGTTTCTCTCCCGCAAGTCGATGGTTGGTCGCAGCAACACCCGGTTCTCGGCTGTGTTGGCGATGGTGCCTGCTGCGCGGCACGCGGCGACGCGCGCGCAGGCTGCCAGAAAACCCGACGCGGCGCGCACTGCACACCAGAGCTCGGCTCCCTCATTGCTACGTCGCTCGGTCTCAGTTTGCACGCGTGACTCGTCTTTCAGCGCGGGCATGCATGCTAGTCCACCACCCGCGCAGCTTTATCTGACCGACGCTGGCCTCGGCTCATGGGTCCAACAAGGCAAAGGATTTTCACACAATTCCAAGGTATTAAAACAACACCACAATATCACATAAATTCTTTTTCTCCAAAATTTCCCAAAGGTTCTCAACAAAGTTTTCAAGGAAACAACATAAGGTTCCAAGTCCACTAATTTTCCCAATTTAGTCACACAAACTAAACTCAATTCCCAAAAATCAAAACTCTTAAAGACGGGATCTAAATGCACGAAGAAAAGTGGGAAAGATTCGAGATTTATCGCACTTCTCAAATCTACAAACGAGAAGGCGTGGAATCGTGGTCTCGGTCGTAGCGCGCTTGCGGCTCTCGGCCAATTGCTTCCCGCGGATCACGGCTATCTCTCGCACGTGAACTTGGCAAGTTTTCAGATGCTCGCAGCTGCGGCCGCTTCTCTCAGTGGTTGTTGGCTCGTGCGCGGAGGACCTTGCCTGATCGTACGCAGTTCTCTCTAGTGAAAGGGACTCTCTGGACTTGCTGTTCGCGGCTTCGCGTGCGGATGGGGATCCACGATGGCTGCTCGCGGCAGGGCTCCTGGTGAGGGTTCTCGGCTACGTCTTCACAGGAATGCTATACCTAACGGTTACTTTCTTGACGAGGATCCCGAAGATGGCAGCAATGGGGGCGTGCAGTGCCGGGCTCAGGTGCGGCTGCTGGAGGGTTGCAACGGCTACGGGGTGTGATTGTTCATGGAGATGTCGCCGGCGGATGATGTTATTTCTAGATCTCGCGGATGGCTGCAAGGTGACGAGTGGTTGGGCTGCGGATGTTCGAGGCTGAGCGTGGCGTTGCGGCGCAGGCTGCGGCTGGTCATCTCGCCGTGGCCGACGGCTGAAAGAGGAGGCGGTTTGATGGGGTTTGAACATTTAAGTGAATAATGGAAGGGAATAGTTTTTCTTAGGGAGCAAGGGTAAGGGAGATCAAGGTGATCTTATTACCTTAATTACATGGCCATAATTGGCTAAATTGAGGGATTTAGGTGCGGTTTCCCTTGGTTAAAGAGGAGATCGATTGCTGAAAAGTTATTACCAAATAGGATGGCCATGAGTTTCAAAAATCACAATTCACTTGGAGCCAAAAGAACATGGCTTGGGTCGAGTTTCTCATGAGACCCGTTTGCAAAGACTTGGGCCGAGTTTCAAGGCTCTCTAGGACCGGTTTAAATAAATAAAAGGGCCGAAAATGATATGTCTCGATGATCAATGTAAAACAGCTTACGATACGATTGCATTTGAACCCGATTTTTCTCCAATAATAAAAAATATTAAAATTTAAAATAATTCACGTAGACGAGGACATCTAATTAATCTTGCTGAAATTACGAGCTTAGCCGAATTAATCGAACAAGCAAAACAATGCACAAAGCAAAATAAATTCACACAGGCATATAATAATAAGATCGACTCCTAAATATCGAACGGGGCACTATATATTATGACAAACCTTTTCTTTATAAAAGATTAAGGGCATCTCTGTTTATAAATTATTTAAAACCATACTCAACTCAACTATCCTCAATATTATCGATATAATTAGATAATACCAAATAATTATTCGTACACATCACATCAATTTTAATTCACTATTATTCACTTACATAATTTAACTATTCATCACTTCATACCATCTCTCTCCTACATTTACATCAAGTAAACTTTAATGATTTTATTTTAAATATTATTTTAATATAAACTCACAATTCTATTAACAACTAAACATACTATTTTTTTTAAATAATTGTGATTAACCAAAAAAAATTATTTTGACGAGATATATTTGTATACAAGCACAGCACGCCCTAACTCGTTTGAGAATATCATGTGGAATAAGACTTTACATTCCTTGAAATGGCTATAATATTAGTTTATTGTCGATTAAATGACTAATTTAAATAATTTATTTATCATAAACTGATAAATGCTTTGAGAAAATAAATACATCACGAGTCTATTTTCAAAACATAAAATAATTTCATATCATTTAATTCAATGCAAATTAAATATATAACCATTAAAATTCCATCAAATTCCGATCAAAATCCATTTTATTTTGTTGATTTTCTAATAAAGTATTGAAGATGATATTAAACAATTTATCATCAACTCCACCATCACTGAAATTAGATTCAGTGTCACCTAACAATCACATTCCATAAATTTGTCTAACTTTATAGTATTCACTAGGCAATGTTGACATAGTCAATTACAAATTACGAACATGTATACTATACCAAATTCAATTTTTGAAGTATTTTCTAAATGTGTCCCAATTATACTGGCACTTGATTTTGCGATGTTGACTTCCAATACCTATAAATTGAATCCCAAACCAACCAAATACTTCACAAACATTTTTACGTTCCACATACATTACAAGGCATTTATCATGACTGATACTAAAGTTTTGGTACTTCTCCTCTTATTCGCTTACATTTTCCTAACCAATGGGTGTAATATTACCAAAAATTATGAGGTTCATCTAATCAACAGGCTTCCGTATCCAAGGCTCAAATTTCATTGTGCATCAGGTGATGATGAACTTGGATATCATGAAGTTGTTCCAAACTTTGATTTTCATTGGAAGTTTTGTGATAGTTATACCGGAAAAACTTTATTTTTTTGCCATCTTTGGTGGGGAAAAAAAGAAATTGCTTTTGATATATTTACCTCCAAACACAGTGATAGATGTCGACAAGGTAAATGTTTTTGGGAAGCAAGGACTGATGGTATCTATTTTTCTGATGACATAGAGCTGGTTCCTTTTAATAAGATGTTCGGATGGTAAACATTAAACGATTAATTGAAAGTGAGGTTATGACTTTCTTGATTTATTTCTATCTTCTTTCTTGTTCTTGATTTTAGTTTTAACATTTGCGTGTGATTGACTTGATCTGCATAATGGGTCATACAAGAAATGCATGTGCAGATAGAATTCTGGTAGCAATCTCCAATTTTTAGTCCCATATAAAACTATAAACCATACGTACAACGTGTTACTTAACACAAAAGAAGATGCTACAAGTACATAATAAATGTACATAGAGGTGTACATAGCACTCACATGGAATGGGGTCCACTTAATTTTTTATTTTTGGTAGGACCTACTCAATGTGAGTGTTATGTACACATCTATGTAAATTATTATGTACCTATAGCATTACTCATTTTTTTCAAATAATAGATTCATATATAAAAACACGTACTTACAACCGGCTAACTAGCCAGAAAAGGGAGGGCTACCTCCAGGCGATAGCCTAAAACACAGCATGCTACAAACACCACACGAAAACTAAAAGCTCCTCTAATGAAGGATACACGTTCCCCAACGGGCGAAAAACACAAACGCACACTAACAATACAAAACAAACACAAACACATAAAAAAAAATCCTAAAACAAACATGAGCTAAACAGCTAAGGCCTATTTCCTACCCGACGGAAAAGCCAGAACCACCACACCCCGGGCAAACACCCATCGCTAAATACCGAGAAAAGTCACGAGATCCACGACCAAATACAACAGACCCAGAAACTCCCCTAATGGGCTAACCAGATCCAGACCACAAAAATCGACAGCCCTCCCGATACTCCACAAACCCAACCCAGAGC